CGCTCTTCGCACCCCCCGCCCAGCTCTGCAGAGGCCCAGGCACCGTGCTGGCTGGGGAACAGCCCAATTTCAGAGGGGCGAAGCCCTGCCACCCCTCCCGCCAGCCCTCTCCACTCCACGCACTCACGTCTTGGCGCTCTCCGACTTGCTGCCCACGCTGTACTCCTTCATGGCCTTCTCGTAGTCCCTCCTGGCGTCTTCCGCCTTGCGATCCCATTCCTGCAGCAAGAGCATGGGTTCGGCGGGGCCTTCCCTCCTCCTCCTCCTCCCCCACCTGCGCCGCCAGAGCCCAACACCGTCCCCACCCGCACCACGCCAGCACTCCCACCACGTCCCTCGCCACCTTAGAATCATGGAATCACAGAACGCTTTGGGTTGGAAGGGACCTTTAGAGCTCACCCAGCCCAACCCCCTGCAGTGAGCAGGGACAGCTTTAACCAGACCAGGGTGCTCACAGCCCCGTCCAACCTGGCCTGGGATGTTTCTGGGGATGGGGCCTCCACCGCCTCGCTGGGCAACCTGTGCCAGTGCCTCACCACCCTCATTGTGAAAAATGTCTTCCTTATATCCAGTCCAAATCTATTCCTCTTTAGTTTAAATCTATTATTCCTTGTTCTGTCACAACAGGCCTTGCTAAAAAGATTGTCCCCATCCTTTCTACAGGCCCCCTTTCAGTACTGAAAGGCCGCACTAAGGTCTCCTCGCAGCCTTCTCTTCTCCAGACTGAACACCCCCAGCTCCCCCAGCCTGGCCTCATAGGAGAGGTGCTCCAGCCCTCGGGTCATTTTTGTGGCCTCCTCTGGACCCGCTCCAGCAGCTCCATGTCCTTGTGCTGAGGGCCCCAGAGCTGGACACAGGGCTGCAGGTGAGGTCTCACCAGAGCAGAGCAGAGGGGCAGAATCCCCTCCCTCGACCTGCTGGCCACGTTGCTTTTGACGCAGCCCAGGATTCAGTTGGCTTTCTGGGTCAAGCCTACGCTCAGCCTGCAGCTCACCAGCCCAAAGCTCACCTCTCCACTGCAGCACTCCCTTCCTGACCTCCCGTCTACGCAGTGCCAGGCTCCTGAGACCAAGGAAGAGCCCGCCAGGCCTCCTCCTGTCCACTCCCCGCCTCCTAGACCAGGCTCAGCTCTCCCCACTGGCAAAGCAGCCCAGAGGCCCTGCCCCTCACCTCCTTCTTCTCCTTGGACATGGCTTTCCAGAGCTCCCCAGCCTTCTTGGACAAGTCTGTGATGCTGATGCCAGGATGGTCTGACTTGATCTTCTCACGGTTGGCGTTCAGCCAGAGCATGTAAGCCGACATTGGCCGCTTGGGAGCGTTGGGGTCTTTCCCCTTTTTGCTCTAGGAGGTAGGGAGAGGAGAGAAGCAGCGTGAATGCCTCGAATGGCACCGCTACTAAAGACCTCGGGACCTGGGGTTGCCCCGAGACCAGGGGCTGGGTCTCAGCTTGCCCCCTGCACCCCACCAGCAGTGCAGCCGCACACCATCAGGGCAGACGGCTTCTCAGGTCACACCCACAAAAGCCGAAAGGGCCAGCTGCTGGGGACAAGTCCCCCAACAACCAAAAGGAGCGGCGAGGGGCGGGCAGAACGTGCCCTTTGGAAGGGACTCAACCTAGATTCATCAGCAGGAGGCAGCCAGTCAGGCTCGGACAACCGACGCGGCCAGGGCAAAGCACGACGACGGCGGCACTGGACCAGACTGTGGCAGATGGTTGAGGTGGAGCCGCTCAGCTGACGGGCTGTGACCTGCATCTCCCCGGTGTCGCTCCCACCGGGGAACCACCGCCCGTGCTCCAGGAGCGGGT